GCCGGGAAAGGCAGAAAATGACTTTAAAGATTGGCCGTAAAACTCCGAGTTACCGAAAACTTAGCCAGCCTGGCATTAGCAAACCTCATTCATTAACAGTCTTGCCGGTGAGGTCTCCGTATCTCGGTGTTCATTTTATACTTTAATCTGGTTACTCAGCCCTTAATTGTCCTATTCCAAAGGGAAGGGGGGGGGGAAGAGCTTAGGTGATACAGAAAGCAACGCACGGCATTTTATCTCTGTAAAAGCTTGGGCGAACTTGGCAAGGTTTTGATGCGCTCTCGTTTCCTTGGGTTTCTCTTTGGAATCGCAGATCTGATGGGGCAGAATAGAGAAGCCAACTGTGCTTAGCAGCGGATACTATCCAGATTCCAGAGGAAAAAGAACACCTGGCCAGAGGTAAACATTATATGCTCATCTGTACCTACCAATGTGCAGGGAGGTTATCTCTGCAAAAAGAAATAACCTGGAAATTAAGAGTCTTCCACTCCGTCCGGCTGAGTAGCTCTCCATGATATCCAACGTTTGTTCTCCACAAATTGAGGTCCCATGTAACTCACATTGTGACCGGCTGTAAATATACGGGTCCAGTATTTGATTTTTTTTCCCACATAAGCGATGCTGCACTTCAGTGGTTAAATGGCCTACATATCTGAATATAGCTCTTTTTAACATTCAAATTTTACGGTGTTTTCTAGGTGAAATGTTAATCCATATTGCAAGTCCGTGTATAATAGGCCATACGCCAGTGGTTCTCAACCTTTTTAATGCCGTGACCCCCAACCAGTCGTAAGTTGAGGACTACTCAACCGGTCGTAAGTCGGTGCAACTGGTGCAGCACCGTTTGCAGAATGGGACTTTTGGCGGGCTCAGCAGGGCAGAGACAGCCTGGACAATTCCTATTGGCTTTTGAAAGCCAATAGAATAGACTCTATTTAAGAGAGTCTATTCTATTGGCTTTCAAAAGCCAATAGAATAAGGAAAGGGGGGGGAAAAATGGTGGACTGCGTTGTTTGGTGACCCCCGTGAAATGGTCGTTCGACCCCAAATGGGGTCCTGACCCACAGGTTGAGAACCACTGCCGTACGCTAAATAAATAATTACATTCTTCATCTCTCCATCCGGCTCCCGTCCTTGCCATTTGTGGGGTTCTGGATTTAGAATAGAATAACAGAGTTGGAAGGGACTTCGTAGGTCATCTAGTCCAGGACTTTTCAACCAGTGGTACGGGTACCACCTGTGGTACATTGGCACCTGGCAGGTGGTACACGAACATCCTAGAAAAGTAGTGGGGGAGGGGAATGAGCTGAACCGGTGGCAGCACCGCACAAGCCTGAGCGAGAGATGGCTGGAGCTGCAGGGCTGTCAGGGCTCAGCGGAAGTGCCAGGATCAGTGCTGCTTTCCAGCCGATCGGCGCTTCTTCAGGGCTGTCAGGGCTCAGTGGAAGCGCCAGGATCAGCGCCAGGCTCCAACTGGAGCTCGGCGCTGATCCAGGTGCTTCTGCTAAGCCCTGAAGTAGCTCCAGCTGGAAAGCAGCACTGATCCTGACACTTCTGCTGAGCCCAGATGAAGCGCCGATCAGCTAGAATGTTGCAATCTCCATTTACATTCAGATGCTGGCAACTGCTTCATATTTATGACGGTCCCAGTGTCCCAAGGTCATGTGAAGTTACCAAAACCTGATGCAACCACCCAGCAGACGGGAATAAAAACCAAACACCCCCACCTCACCCTCGCTGCCAATCCTCAACAGAAATGCTCACAACAATGGCAACCTCGGACAGGAGGAAGAGCGTCGCCAGGTGGGCAGGCAGGTGTCTTGCTTGGCTGTGCCTTGTGGGGCACTTTTTTCAGTGCCTTGTAACTTCGAACAGTCACTAAGAGGACTGTTTTAAGTCGAGGACTACCTGTACTTTATCACTTTTTTCCTTTTGTTTTTGGGGGGGTCCTCACGTTTTTGACACCTTCCTAGGCGACTGGTGGTACTCGGATGTTGCCATATCCTAAAAGTGGTACAATGGGTGACAAGGTTGCAGCCCCCCCTCAAGGCAGAAGGTTGTTAAGGGAGCTTTGCCCGCTTTTACGACCTTTCCTGACACCACTAAGTTGAATAACACGGTTGTTAAGTGAATCCGGCTTCCCCATTGACTTTGCTTGTCAGAAGGTCGCAAAAGGGGATCACATGACCCGGGACGCCGCGACCGTCATAAATACGAATCAGTTAAAAAGCATTCAAATTTTGATTACATGATTACAATGGTCGTTCAATGTGAAAAACACAAGTCACTTTTTCCAGTGTGGTTGTAACTTTGAACGGTCAATAAACGGTCCCTGTTGTAAGTCGAGGACTACCTGTATTCATGTAATTTGTTTCAGTGTCCACTTTATAACAAAATAATGGCTCAGCTATTTTTTTTATTGGTAACATTTTCTCCTGCGTTATTTATTAATGTGTTTTGTTCGGCTCCTGATTCTGATCTTTTCGTGTTTTAAAATCACCCCATTTGTCCAGAGAACTTGTTGTTGACCGTAAAAATAAAAAGCACAGTGATTTAACTTCTGAACCAGGAAACTATTTTATTTTTCCTTAAGCGCAATGGGGAATGTGGACTTCGTATTACTACTACGGTTTATTTACCTCTTTGACAAATGGACAAATAATATTTGTAGGTCTCACGGCAACCATTTTGTTGGCCCAAAGTAGGAATAATGTACATCCGAAGCCCGAATGGAATTTGCCTTTTCCAAAACTGCATTAAAAAAAAAAAAGGTCATAAAACCAAATTGAAAAACAAACAAAAGTCTGATTCCTATTCTGATTTGAATGCGAATCTGGTCAAGATTGACCAGGGACTAAGTAGAAAAGAACAGATTTCTGACTTAAAATTCTCTCTGCTACTGTTGACATAAAGCTCAGCTTCTTTCTTTGGTGGTGTTTTAATTCCCAGAATACCAGCCTTAGCGGTCTTTTAAAAGGACGCGTGCCAAAGTTTAAAAGAGAGAGGCGCTCCTGAAAATCCACCAGGTTTAATTCGGACACGTGACAGGCCGACTAAGCCTCCCATTTTGGTCGAGCATCTTGCATTAAACTTCCCGGCTGCAGAAGAAACCTCATTTTTTTTAATAAAAAAAAATGATCAATTTGCAGGCTAAGCATAGATAGAAGTTGGCAGGTCAACTTCTGATCACAAATTAAGGCAATGTTGGGTGAGGATTGCCCTGGTCCGCTGAACGAGTTTTCTCCTCATTCTGAGGATATTTTCAATATGCACAAGTGAGTTTCTCTTTCTTCTTTTAATCACTCTTACGAAAAATACCTGCATTTAGGTGGCAAAACCCATATATTTAAATAACCCTGCTTTCTCACCACAGCCTCAGGTGTTTCCTGAACATTAGCCCCCAAAGATACGAAGGAAAAACATGCTGACTAAAATACATCCATGCATTGCTCACAGTTATTTCCGTGGGCCTGTTATTCCAGTTAAATACAAGGGATTTTAAACCTGAATTTCAAAACGCAGAATACGATGGATCCTTAGTGTTATTGGCCAGTATCTTTTGGTTCTGAGGTAAAAGAGACAGAAAAAATGCTGTATCTTAAATGCAGGGAGTCTCTGAACGTGGCAATTTTAAGACTTGTGGACTTCAACTCCCAGAATTCCTGGCTGGCTGAGGAATTCTGGGAGTTGAAGTCCATGAGTCATAAAGTTGCCAAGCTTGGAGACCCCTGCTTTAAAGTCTTGGGTTGAAAAAGTAGAAATGAATACATGGATTGAGTCTCCATCACATCTGCATCCAGAAATCTATAGAACAGTGGTTCTCAACCTTTTTAATGCCGCGATCCCCAACCGGTTGTAAGTCGAGGACTACTCAACCGGTCGTAGGTCGAGGACTACTCAACTGGTGCAGCACCATTTGCAGAATGGGACTTTTGGCGGGCTCAACAGGGCAGAGACAGCCTGGACAATTCCTGTTGGCTTTTGAAAGCCAATAGAATTAGACTCTATTCAAGAGAGTCTATTCTATTGGCTTTCAAAAGCCAATAGAATAAAAGGGAGTAGCACAGCTAAGGAAAAGGGGGAAAAAATGGTGGACTGCGTTGTTTGGCGATCCCCATGAAATGGTCGTTCGACCCCAAATGGGGTCCCGACCCATAGGTTGAGAACCACTGCTATAGAACCTTCCACAACATGAGGAAAAAAAATATATATAAAAAATGTAAAACAACAAAGTCCTAAAAATAATTCTGAGGCAAATTTCAAAATAGTTGCAGTGCCTTCCAGGTATCGACTTGAGTCAACAAATCTATTTTTAGGAAGTGCTTGGATAAACTACAGGTAGTTCTTGACTTAACTATCATTGGTTTAGTGACTGTTCGAAGTTACATCGGCACTGTAAAAAGGGACATATGAACGTTTTTCACACTTACAAACCATAACAGCATCCCTCTGGTCATGTGATCAAAATTTGGACGCTGGGAAACTGACATGTACTTATAACAGTTGCAGCGTCCCAGGGTTATGTGATCCCCTTTTGTGAACTTCTGACAAGCAAAGTCAATGGGAAAGCCAGGTTCACTTAACAACCGTGTTACCAACCAACAGCTGCAGTGATTCACTTAACAACTGTGGCAAGATAGGTCATAAAATGAGGCCAAATTTATTTACTGTCTCACTTAGCCAGGGAAATTTTGGGATCAGCTGTGGTTCGAAGTCGAAAGCTACCTGTACGGTAGCCAATTTTAAAATAGCCACGGTGCCTTCTAAATATCAACCTGAGTAAAATAAGTAAGTAAATCTATTTCTAGGAAGTGCTTGGATGAACTTCTGAAATGAGCAAAGCAAGAATCTGTTCTTTTTTCAAAGATGGAGTCTTTTTGAATCTTAATTCCACTGGGCTTTGGAGGGGAGAGAAAAATTCTATCTCGTATTTTCAGTTGGAGAAGAGAATCGTACCACCCCAATAGACAAACGCACACCCCAAAAGAAAAGGGAAGTTATTACACAAAAAGCTAAGGCAAATTTATTTACGTTGTCGTAAAAAAAAATGGGAGAAGGAAAAAAAAACGAGGAGAAAGTAAAGTTTCAAATACTCCCTTCAGAAGAATATCTACCAGTCCTTTACTCCATCCCGAATCACATCTGATTTTCTGGCTTTGCAGAGGCTGTGTAAATCACTCCAAGGGCTTCGAAAGGATCATAATTATTAGCCTCTCCCGGTTCTTAAACCGGGCAAACACAGACTTGGAAAAAGTGGCTATATTTACAGAAGTCTTTGCTGCTCAGCTGATTGTTCTTCTGGCTGGTGAGTCCATAAATTCTCAATTCATGTCTGTCACACTTGGTGGAGGAGAGAGAGAGAGAGAGAGAGAGAGAACGGGAGGGACAGAATTGTGTCTTAAGATTGTGCATCTTTGTGGTTCCTCCAGGAATCCAAATCCTCAGAAATGTGATGGCAACGGACAGGCAGCAGAAGCTGGACCAGATCCCTCTGAAAGAGGACTTGGGAACAGGAAGGTCCAGGGTCCCCACCTGACAATTCTCCACCACCTCAGTGTGCTTTGTGTTTCCCCTTTTTGTGTTTTTTGTCCTTCTTTTTGCTGGCGCATCTGGAGCAGAACCACTGTATCTCTTCTGGGGGAGCAGCTGTGATGCCGACGCAAGGCCTGCAAAGGAAAGGGACAAGGAGTGAAGACAGCAGAGAAGGAGAACCATTTTCTACAAATTGAACAGGATTAAATAACTACAGGTAGTCCTTGACTTACGGCCTCAGCTAGGCCCCAAATTTCTGTGGCTAAGCGAAACCGTCGTTAAGTGAGGTTTGCCCCATTTTATGACTTTTCTTGCCTGGGGGGGGGGGGTAAATGACTCACCACAGGGGTTAAGTTAGTCACAGATGGTTGTTAATTTGAATCTGGCTTCCTCACTGACTTGGCTTGTCGGAAGGTTGCAAAAGGGGATCACGTGACCCCGGGATACTGCAACCGTCGTAAGTACATGCCAGTTGCCAAGCGTCGGAATTTTGATCACGTGACCATGAGGAGGCTGAGATGGTTGTACAGTAAGTGTGGAAAAAAAAACAGTCCTCAAGTGACTTTTTTTCAGTGCCGTCGTAACTTTGAATAGTCACTAAGCGAATCAGTTAAGTCACTGTAATTTGATTTAAAGCAGTGGTTCTCAACCTTTTTAATGCCGCGACCCCCAACCGGTCATAAGACGAGGACTACTCAACCGGTCGTAAGTCGAGGACTACTCAACTGGTGCAGCACCGCTTGCAGAATGGGACTTTTGGCGGGCTCAGCAGGGCAGAGACAGCCTGGACAATTCCTATTGGCTTTTGAAAGCCAATAGAATTAGACTCTATTCAAGAGAGTCTATTCTATTGGCTTTCACAAGCCAATAGAATAAAAGGGAGTAGCACAGCTAAGGAAAAGGGGGAAAAAATGGTGGACTGCGTTGTTTGGCGACCCCCGTGAAATGGTCGTTCGACCCCAAATGGGGTCCCGACCCACAGGTTGAGAACCACTGATTTAAAGGCAAGGGAGCGACAGTTCACCATCCTGTGATGGTGGTTTGATAGAACGTGGGTTTTTTAAAAAAAAGCAATACGTTTTGTTTGAGGATGGCTTTACTTTCACACACACACACACACACACACACACACACACACACACACACACACACGAAATTGTATGGGGCATCGCCTACATGGAAGAGATTCCACAATTTTAATTTAAATGGCGTCAGCGCTGATCTCGTGTTTTTCCCCACCTCAAAATCTCCTGTAGATAATGAATAAAATGAAGCACCGGTGAATTTACACAAGGGTTATTTCCTGTAGTTTCTCATGAAACGTGTCCTTAGATACTTAGAATAGCTGTGTATCTCTGAGTATTAGCGTTATGCGTTTTCTCTGAATTGTACTTCCTGATATATATATTTTTTTCACAGCGTGCATAAACTGGAATGCATCTGTACATAAATAATTTTCTTTCTGAGTTTTTTTTTCTTTTTTTGGTAGCGCTTCCTTTACTGTTTTTAATCATTTTAGGGCCCTGTTTTTTTTTGGTTGTATTTCCCCATCCTTTAAACAGATATGAACACGCAAGCCAGAGCTTTTATTTATTTAGCTGAGAAATATAGGAAATTAAAGGGTTGAAGGAAAAAAGTTTAAACTTTTTTTTTTTTTTTTTTTAATAGCCACTGAGATCAGTTGTCTGTTTAAATGTGTAGAACGATTACTCAGTTCGCTGAATAAACCCTTTCAGTTGTAGAACGGGTCTGTTTTTCAGTTCCGAAAAAAATACTCTTAGGATTATTTAAGTAATGAAAATTCAGGGAACGCTATATTCACACCAGTGCTTTGCAAGAAGGAATTCAATACCGCAAAGAGTACGAACAGGCCAAATGTACCACTTGGCTGCTAGCAAAGCCTGTTTGCCCAAGATAGGGGTCTATAAAATCATTTAAAATGAGGGCTTGTGTTAGGCCTGGGGATGGAATGCCCCCAAAACAGGAAAGGCTGGGGAAAAAATAAACCAGATTTAACGATTTTACATTTACTTGTGGTAGGAGAAGGAGGTGGCAGAAGCTGGAGGCGGAGTTAAAAGAGTTCAAAATTTCTAGGTAGCCACAAGCAGACTAAAGTCCAACTCTCCTTGAATTCTGCTGGTCTTTATCTAACTCCAAGCAAGTGCTAACAGTTAGTTGAGAAGATTCTTATACTTAAGGGTTTTTTTTAAGCAATAAATCACTTTAATTGGACCTTCATATGTGGACTTGATCTTTCGTGCCTGGTACTATTAAATATAGTATCTATATCCACCCACCCACCCGTCCACCCATCCATCATGCCAGCCAGCCAGCCTTTATTCTTTTTACAAATAATTCAAGGGGGCAAACATATCCAACTCAGCTTCTTCCTTCTGTTTTCCTCACAACCGCAACCCTGTGAGGTGAGTTGGGCTGAGAGAAAGGTACTGACCTCAAGTCACCCAGCTGGCTTTCATGCCCAAGGCAGAACTAGAACTCACTGTCTCCTGGTAATTGGCCCAAAGTCACCCAATTGGCTTCCTTGCCTAAGGTGGGACTGGAACTCACTGCCTCCTGGTGATGGGTCCAGAGTCACATGACCAGCTTTCATGCCTAAGGTGGGACTAGAACTCATGGTCTCCTAGTTTCCAGCCTGGTGCCTTAAGACACTAGACCAGTGGTTCTCAACCTTTTTAATGCCGCGACCCCCAACCAGTCGTAAGTCGAGGACTACTCAACCGATCGTAAGTCGAGGACTACTTAACTGGTGCAGCACCGTTTGCAGAATGGGACTTTTGGTGGGCTCAGCAGGGCAGAGACAGCCTGGACAATTCCTATTGGCTTTTGAAAGCCAATAGAATTAGACTCTATTCACGAGAGTCTATTCTATTGGCTTTCAAAAGCCAATAGAATAAAAGGGAGTAGCACAGCTAAGGAAAAGGGGGAAAAAATGGCGGACTGCGTTGTTTGGCGACCCCCGTGAAATGGTCGTTCGACCCCAAATGAGGTCCCGACCCACAGGTTGAGAACCACTGCACTAGACCAAGGGTAGGCAACCTTGGCTCTTTTATGACTGGTGGACTTCAACTCCCAGAATTCTTGAGACAGCATGGCTCAGCTTGGAAACCTCTCCCTTTCCCCTCAGCATGGCTGGCTCAGTAATTCTGGGAGTTGAAATCCACGAGTCATAAAAGAGCCAAGGTTGCCTACCCCTGCACCAGACCAAACCAATGTCCTCCTTTCTGCCACCTTGAAACACAGACTGATGGTAAGCACTGCCTGTAAAGTCTTGAGAAATGATTGCAGGTAGACCAAAAGATCCAATTTGGACAGTTTTTTGTGTTTTGGACATTTTAGCGTTGAGATCTTTGTCTGAATGCTCCCAGCTGATTACAATAGATCATAAACAATCATTTCCAAGGAGAACACTATATCGTGTGTAGGTCTGGGATTACAACTCCCAGAATTCCCACAACGGTTCCACCACATGACTTCGAAAGCTGAGCATGGCCTCCACCACTTACCAGTGATACCAGTCGTCGCAATCGTCACACCCAATCATTGGGCTACCGTCGTCCGGCTTTTCGCAACCGGGACAGATCCATATCTTGTTTCCCCACTCATCTCGTATCTGGAGGGAGAGAAAGAGAGGGAGAAGGTGAAGGTGAAGGCTCAAAGGGGCAGAAGAAGCCTCATTTCGTGTAACTTTCTACATGTTCCACAACAGCTGTCTAATATAGCATTTCTTAAACTTGACAGCTCTAAGCTGTATGGACTTCAAATCCCAGAACCCCCCAGCCCGAAGTTAAGAAAGACGTTAAGAAAGACTGATTTAATAGCTCAAGGATGGGAGGTGGGGGAGAAGCAGAAGAGATCCCACCGTATTATTTGAACAAACACGAGTGTGCGAACTGGCATGCAGCCTTCTGTAACAACAATATCAAGGGTAGTCTATTAGATTGATAAGGAAGCTAGATCAGAGAAACTCAAGGCAAGTTACAACTGAAAAACTCAATCAAAACAATGATATACATAAAATAAACAACTTCCTGCTTTGGAGAAGTACAGAAAAAAAACACAATGTCAACCATTCTTATTCATGACTTTGCAGCCCATAGTTTGTTGAAAAGGCCAGTTTGTCAATGAAGATTAATCTTGATGAAGATTCTCTCAGTTATCCAGGTACAGTTGCCTGAAGGTTGAATAATTGCAACTGGACTCCATTTCAACGATTCAACCTTCAGACAACTTCAGACCACGTTCAGACAACTTGCTAATGCTTTTCGAAAGCAGAAGAACCAAACAGACCTGGGGGGGGGGGGAATAGTATTTCAGGAGTATAACAGGGATCGTTATTTCTTTTTTTTAAAAAAAAAAAAACACCTCACACGTGTCTGAAAAAAAGTCTCTATACTGCATTGGTAAAATATACAAATTCTGCAAATGCGAAAAGTCTAAACCTTCTATAAGCAACCTTTATGTTATGCAGAAAAACCAACATTTGGCCCAGATCTAACCCTGATGACGAGAAGCATCTGAAAACTTAACGAATAGCTTCTAGGTGTTGGCATGTAAGGTTAAATCAGAAGCAAAAACTTGAAGGCTAGAACTAAGGAGAAATTTCCTGACAGCGAGAACAATTAACCAGTGAAAGGGCTTGCATCCAGAAGTTGTGGGTGCTCCAACACTGGAGGTTTTTAAGAAGAGACTGGGCAACTATTTGTCTGAAATGGTATAGGGCAGGGGTAGGCAACCCAAAACACTTAAAGAGCCACTTGGACCCGTTTCCCACCAAAAACAAAACACTGGGAGCCGCAAAACCCTTTTGATATTTAAAATGAAGATAACACTGCATATATCCTTTTTTATCTTTATTATAGGTGTGTGTGTGTATGTATGTGTGTGTGTGTATATATGTATATGTATATGTATATATGTATGTGTATACACACACACACACACACGTAAAAAAAGGATATATGCAGTGTTATCTTCATTTTAGATGTCAAAAGGGTCTCTCTCTCTCTCTGTCTCTCTGTCCCTCCCTCTCTATCTGCCCTTGGTCTGCCACTCCTCTTCCCCCGCTCTCTTTCTTTCTCTCTCTCTCTCTTTCCTCTCTCTCTCCCTCCCTCTCTCTCTCTTTCTCTCTCTCTCTTTCTCCCCCCCCCTCCTATCTGCTGCTCACCTGGCAAGCTTCAAGCTGTTGTCCAATAAGCAACCTCTCTCTTTTATGACTCATGGACTTCAACTCCCAGAATTCCTGAGTCAGCCTAGCTGGGCTAGCTAGCTCTCTCCTGCCCTTCCTGCTTCCTGCTTCCTGCAGAGATGCAGCAAAGGGAGGAGTTCCGCCCAGTAAGCTTTTCAGCTCCTCGGAGAACAATGTGAGTGCACTCTCTTTTACACATACACACACACACACAGAGAGAGAGAAGCAGGGAAGCACAATTGCCTCTCTCTGTCTCTGTCTCTCTCTGCAAAGGCAGAGGAGGCTGGGAGCCACAGGGGAAGGCTCAAAGAGCCGCATGCGGCTCCGGAGCCGCAGGTTGCCGACCTGTGGTATAGGGTTTCCTGCTTGAGCAGGGGGTTGGACTACAAGACCTCCAGGGTCCCTTCCAACTCTGTTATTCTGTTAAGTTGGCTTGTTCTGAGAGCTCAATTCCAGAACAAGCCAAACTGAGCCTGGGATGGAAGGATGTTGGTTATGCCAGCTGTGTTCTACACACCTGACAGAGAAGTTCACGACACAAAGGCCAAGTTGGTTTGCTGAAGGGATAAATCCCAATCATTGGGTTCAGTTGCCAAGGGGCCACCTCAGCCTTCCTCAACCTGGCACCCTCCATTTGACTTGGTCTGTAAGTTCTTGTGCCCTCCACCCACCGAGCTAAGCATCTTGCCAGCCGTGGATAATGGGACTTGTAATCTGAATCAGAACTGAAGAAGCTTCTTGGATAAGAATCGAAATGTTTTCAAAGAACCCCCCCCCCCAAGAAAGTCTAGTTGCCTTTTGGAAAAACACCTCTGGGACAACCGTGCCCTGCATGATTGAGAATCTGCATAGACTTGCAATCTGATGGCTTGGAAGATGCCAGTGCTAGCTTGGTGAAAGCAAGATTTCCCAACGGGGGAGCCAAAACTGGTTCCGGCCCTACCATGCTCCTTCCACTCATTCTGCGCTGCCTTGGCTGCCTCCCTCTGTCCCTCCTCCCTGCCTTGCTGAAGACCGTCTTGGCAATGTGCGTCTATAAAGTGCATGCATTTATTTAGGTTGCTGGGTTAGTACTTATTAGCCAAAGTCATCCAACTCAGCTCACTGATAAGATCAAGAGTATAAAAAATAGTTACTGAGTAACTTTCCATTCCTTTGACATTTGTCACACCACGACATTTACGGAAGGGTAAGTGGGGGGGGGAGAAGAGAGATGGAGAGAAAGAGGTGGAAGGAGAGACAGAGAAAGAAAGAGACGGAGGGAGAGAGATAGACAGAAAGAGACAGTGACAGAGACAGAGAGAAAGAAAGGGAGAGAGATACAGAGACGGAGAGAGAGGGAGAGAGACAGATAGAGAAAGGGAGAGACAGGGAGAAAGATGGGGGGAGAGAGAGAGAGGGAGAGAAAGAAAGGCAAAGAAAGGGAAAGAAAGAAAGAGGGAGGGGGAGAGAGAAAGAATTAGAAAGTTTATAGCACTTCACAGCAGGCTGCTTGAGGCTGGCTCTTCTATTCATTATGGGGCACATTCAGGATATAATACATGCTGCTAATTAAGTTAATTGCAGCAATCCTGTTTTGGACAAAATGCACACTGGAATTCTGGCTTCTGTTAGAACTTATGATTTTAGAAAGGTCTCTCTCCTTTGTCAACATATGAGAAACTTTCCAACTTTTAGGCCGTTTGATTTTAATTGTCTTAAATCCAAATAAATCTGAGCCTCAATGTATGGGATTCCATCTACATTTATGGGGCACATTTATAACATATATTATTGAACAATTACTAGTCTAAGGAATGGAATCTCGATAAAACACGATGAGTGTCAGCCTATTTTCAACTGACAGATGAAATGAATGTGAAAAGTTATACTCTAAATGTAAAGATATAGCCAGCTATGAATATATAAATAGTCTGTCTTTCACCTGTGTAAGTTTTTTCTGTTTTGTGACTGCTTCTTTCCTACGCTGAAGGAAACAAAATGAGCAAAAGCTGCAAAGAGTTACAGCAGCCTAAGAAAGCAAAGTGAGACTTGAGCAGCATGTAAATTTAACAAATATTTATTTAATTCAATGCCGCCCATCTCACCATCGAGGGATTGTAGAAAAATAAAAAAGCAGGAAGACTGACTATATGCTTAAATTTCCCTATTACACCCAGGATTCTGCCATTAATAAGCTAAGAAAGCTCTCGATTAAAGTGATATAATTGCCTGGTAAATTAGGTGATGTATGATGTTAAACCACTGTTTGCTTAAAATGGTTCGCTGAATAAATCTTAATTGGAATGGGTTTGACAATACGGTGAATCGTGAGCGTGGGTTTACAAATCACCCTTCACACAAGCTTACATGCCAGCAAGGAAATGACCGTTTCTTAGTGCAATCTCTGAACTCAACCGTTGATAAGACCTTGAGCTTTTTAGCCCAGGTCTGCCTCTGAACCCAGAAAGTTCAAGCAACGGTTCTGACATACCTAAGCCAACATGTCACAGGCTTCTGACTGACTGACCGAAAGCTGGAATTGCATAATGCATAATGGTAGGTGAAAGAATTCTGTTTAATGACAACTGCTGGGATTTAGCCTGGATGGAATTACTATGGAAAACCATCTGTCTGAGGTAAAATATTTGCCGTTTCTGGATTCCCTCCAGAAATGACGGCAGATTTGCAAACAGGAAAGCTTTGTTTGAGAAGTATAAAACGGAGGGCTCTACATGACGCCGATCTAGAATCGGCAGACAAGAGTTTAACGTGCCAGGAAAGTTATTTTTGGTGCTCTTCTACAGAAGAGGTGAACAATAACTGACCTACTGAGGTGATTTTTTTTTCTCTCTCAGTGGGCGAATGGCTGCAAAAGCCGATGGAGTTAGCAGGAATGGCGAAATTGGCTGCTTTGATTTAAAAAAAAAGAAAAAAATGAGTTTTGTTTCTCCTCGGAAACCACTTTTGGACTTTCTGCTCGAGGTGGACAAATATATATTACAATCTAACACGGCAAAAGACCCGATTACACCAAGACCTGCATACATGTACTCGTGAAACTCTACGAAAACATTTTTCATTTCTCTTTGTATTTCTGTATTTTGATGAACTCATAAAATATTGCACGGAAAAAAAGAAAGAAACAGAGCAGATTGATATAAATAAAAAGAAAGATCAGTTTTCAGGTAGTCCTCGACTTACAGCAATTCATTGAATGATGGTCCAAAGTTACAACGGCACTGAAGAAGACTTACGACCATTTGTCACACTGATGACCCTTGCAGCATCCCCATGCTCAGGTGATCAAAATTCAGAGGCTTGGCAACTGGCATGTACTTATGACGGTTGCAGTGTCCCGGGGTCACGTGATCCCCTTTTGCGACCTTCTGACAAGCCAAGTCCGTGGGGAAGCCAGATTCGCTTAACGACCGTGCTATTAACTAAACAGCTGCAGTGATTCACTTAAGAACAGCAGCCAGAGCGGTCTTCAAATGGGGCAAAACTCACTTAACAACTGTCTCGCTTAGCAACGGGAATGCTGGGCTCAATTGTTGTCGTAAGTTGAGGACTCCCTGTACTTTTTCGGTTGCCTTCATTGACATGATATCCTCCCAAGCTTTGGCAAGCTGCTACCTCTCCTGCAGAAGATAACCTTGGTGAGATGCATCAAACATCAGCAGCACAGGAACCGAAGAGCTGAGGTGGCGCAGCAGTTAGGGTGCAGTACTGCAGGCCACTTTAGCTGACTGTGTTCAGCAGGTCAGCGGTTCAAATCTCACCGGCTCAAGGTTGACTCAGCCTTCCATCCTTCCGGGGTAGGTAAAATGAGGACCCAGATTGTTGGGGGCAATGTAAATATATATATATATATATATATATATACACACATTGCTTACTGGTGTACACCGCTTAGAGAGTGCTTGCACTTAAAGCGGTATATAAATCCCATAAATAAACCTGGCTTGCCGTGTTTGTACTTATGGCCAAACTTAACTGCAGCTCAGCTAACTAACCAGAACAAGGGTATAAGGGAGCCCTCCCCCCCCCCCGCTTCCGAGCTGTGAATGATGGGAGCTGCAGATTGCTTCCTCCTGAGGACCTTGCATTGTGGAAGGCACCATTTGTGTATTTCAGTGAAGTTCTATCTGATCAAGATGAAGGCTGATTACTTTTGAATTGTAGTTGAATGCTGACCTCGAACGTCCTGTTTGGCTAAAAGTCAGCCCCCCCTGTGGTTAGTTACTCATTTCTGGAAAAAAATGAGGAGGTAACTTCTCTCTCTCTCTCTCTTTCTTTCTCTCTCTCTCTCTCTTTCTCTCTCTCTCTCTCTGTCTCTCTTTCTCTCTCTCTCTGTCTCTCTTTCTTTCTCTCTCTCTCTGTCTGTCTTTCTTTCTCTCTCTGTCTCTCTTTCTTTCTCTCTCTCTCTGTCTCTCTTTCTTTCTCTCTCTCTCTGTCTCTCTTTCTTTCTCTCTCTCTCTTTCTTTCTCTCTCTCTCTGTCTCTTTCTTTCTCTCTCTGTCTCTCTCTCTCTCTCTGTCTGTCTCTCTCTCTCTGTCTCTTTCTTTCTCTCTGTCTCTCTCTCTCTTTTTCTCTCTCTCTGTCTTTCTTTCTCTCTCTCTCTCTCTCTCTGTCTCTCTTTCTTTCTCTCTCTCTCTGTCTCTCTCTCTTTCTTTCTCTCTCTCTGTCTCTCTTTCTCTCTCTCTCTCTCTCTCATACTCTTTTCCTATTTCCTGCCTATTGCACTTTTCTGCTACATATGATGTGCCAGGGAAGAGAACCTGCCCTCGTTGGAAGACCGTCTTTACATCTTGAGAGCTGAAACAAACCATGAACTCGGTTGTAGGTTTATGCATCTCTAGCTTTCTCTGGAGAGCCAATATGTGTTCGAGCCACAGCAAGTTAGTTGCACTCAGATCCTTGCTCAGACCTATGGGAAATCCATGTGCCAGAGGTGTACCTTCGAGAATTCACTGTTTGTGGACAGTGAGTATTCGGTGGGACTCCGAAACTCAGCACTACAAAGGTGCAGCCCAGCCCCCAGACCGGTGAAAAACAGCGTTCAGCCTACGTTCAGCTGCCCCGCCTTTCAGTCATTGGGTTAAGTGGTTGTGTGAACAGGACTTGTGAGTTAAGAGTGGGGTGGAGGGGGAAAAAAAAAACACCAATGGAAAAGAGTTGGCTTTTCAAGCTCTCCTATCTGTCTGCCTCGAGAAACAATGGATGGAAACAGTGGTAGGCTTTTAAGAAGAGATAGGACAGCCATTTTGTCTGAAATGGCATAGGGTATCCTGCTCGAGCAGTGGGTTGGACTAGAAGACCTCCAAGGTCCCTTCCAACTCTGTTATTCTGTTAGAAGAGCACGTTTGTAGCTCAGGGTTGAAATGAGGGGTCCTTGGTGCTCTCTGAGCTTGCTGGTTGGTTTTCTTGCAGACGTTTTGTTACCCAACTAGGTAACATCATCAGTGTTAGAAGGGGGTGAGGTTTGCTTCTTATTATATACTAGTAGCTGGCCCTCTCAGTATTGGTGGGAGTGTTCTTTGTGGTTTCTTCATTAGGCTGTTGCTTATTGTTAGTTTGTTTGTCTGCGTTTGTAGTTCCTTGATCGGGGTACTATTTGCCTGATTACTGATCTATCTATCTATCTATCTATCTATCTATCTATCTATCTATCTATCTATCTATCTATCTATCTATCTATCTATCTATCTATCTATCTATCCACACACATAGATATACATATCTATCTATGTGTGTGTGTGTTTGTGTGTGTATATGCATATATCAGCATGCATAATTCCCTAAACACAAGAAGCCAATTCCTAGCATAATTAAGAATATGCTTCTACCGTAAAGATTGTTTTTTGAAAGAGTCATAGTAAGAGGAGTTCTATGATTATTATCCTTTAACTTAAGTAACAATAGCAAGAAAATATCATATTCTTTCAACTATATTCCGTATTTTTTGTGATAAAGACATATGCCTTTTACAAAGCTTCTTTGTATCTCTTATATCGGTTCATCTTAAGATGTTTACACCGATATATATATTTGATAAGTCTCAGAGGCATCTAAATATGTATGCCTTGCTGATTTTTTAAGCTTTTAAAGGCCAGAGTAATAAGCCAGGGATCCAGGTATTTGCATCCCTTTCAAGATGGAGCAATTCTAATAATCAAATTTCATCATTCCAGCACTTGATATAGAATCTTATTCACTGGAATACATGTAACACAGTGGTTCTCAACCTGTGGGTCGGGACCCCATTTGGGGTCGAATGACCATTTCACGGGGGTCGCCAAGCAATGCAGTCCGCCATTTTTTCCCCCCTTTTCCTTAGCTGTGCTACTCCCTTTTATTCTATTGGCTTTTGAAAGCCAATAGAATAGACTCTCTTGAATAGAGTCCAATTCTATTGGCTTTCAAAAGCCAATAGGAATTGTCCAGGCTGTCTCTGCCCTGCTGAGCCCGCCAAAAGTCCCATTCTGCAAACGGTGCTGCACCAGTTGAGTAGTCCTCGACTTACGACCGGTTGAGTAGTCCTCGACTTACGACCGGTTGGGGGGGGTCACGGCATTAAAAAGGTTGAGAACCACTGATGTAACAGGAAGCACCACGGGTTAAAAATATTTGGATCCTGAAAATTACCTTGGGCATTACAAATCTGTCATGGTGAATGATGACTTTTTTTATTGGTGAACTATGAAAATAAGAGTCGAAATCTGATCGGTTCAAGTGCTTGGACGATGTGAGATTGTCTCATGTACCCTTTTTGGGAAATTTCTCAACAGACTGAACCTTTCTGTTTTACTCATAACTTACTAAAAAAAAAATCTTTCTGCCACTGTTTGTTGAGGTTATTTTTTTCTGATAAGATCACTTTATTCTCCACACACACACACACACACACACACACACACACACACACACACACACACACACACCGAGTTCAATGTAGTTCATATTGTAGGCAAAATGGCAGTGGCTCTTACTAATTAATTTAAGGGAATTAAATTAAAGCATATTAGCACTAAAAATAAAATTGGGTATCATATGTATCTTCTCCTTCATAAGCACCTCATCAGTGTGAGACAAAATGTTTTCACCTGAGGGAGCCCACAAATACTTAATTACAAAAGGGTAATTTATTAACATTTGTCAACTTCACACAGGTTATTCCGAGGCTGGAAATCCAACTTCTAATATCCAGGTTTTGTTACTTACCTTGGAACTCGAATGAGGGTATTGTATTTTGGTTGCCCATCGTAACCAATTCTTTTAAAACTGGTCCTGTATATACAAGTGTTTTAATGATGTATCAAAGTATGATTGTAAATGGAACCATTCCGACCAATATCTTTAATTTGAGCTCTGCAAACCCGTCTGGATCGGACTCCAGGCTGTGGGCAGAGTTTGCCTGCACTTAAGAGAGGTGTGATGGCTCAGCAGTTAAAGAAAGTGAGCTTGTCAGCTGGAAAGCTGCTAGCCGGGGTTTGAGACCCAAGCACCATGCAATAGGTGAGCTCCCGTTCCTAGCTCCAGCTCCTGCCCACCTAGAAGTTCAAAAGCATGACAATGTGAGTAGATAAATAGGTACCACTTTGGTGGGAAGGTAACAAGTGTTCTGTGTGCTTTGGGCGGCCACATGATCACAGAAAATGTCTTCGGACAATGGTGGCTCCCTTGGCTAAGAAACAAGAGTTGAGCACCATGTCCTAAAGCCGGACACACCCGGACAGGGAAACCTTTACCATTTATTGCACTGAAACGATTGTCTCCCCAGGGCTTCCCGTGCTGTTAAGGGTCTAATAAAAGCATTGAAGGAACCCCAGAAGGTGGGATGACGACATGTTCTCCATGAAACACATTAAGCCACCTACCACGTAATTACTGACGGTCTCTGTCACAACGCTTCGAACAGGGACTTTAGAGCTTCCCATGGCAGACGGTGCTGGGGAAGAAGGTGGAATCAGAGCTGGAGCCATGGCAGCTGGGGGCACAGGAGGAACCGTCGAAGGAGGAGGAGGTGGAGGGGTGACGTGGACGGGAGCTGGTGCGGGAGATGGCGGCGGCGGGGGCGTTTTAGGTCGAACCAGGAGAGGTAACGGCTTAGGCTCCGTCGTGGACACCACTTTGCTGATGACACTGTGGGACAAAGAAAGAGTTGACATAGCATTAGACCAGTGATGGCGAACCTTTTAGAGACTGAGTGCCCCAAAACCGCCCCACCGCCCGGTCTGCCCCCGCCCACCCGCAGGGCCACTCGCTGCCACTATGGCCCGCTGCAGCAGATCGCCCAGGTGGCCCTGCAGCACCATGGTGGCCACGCCCCCCACCCGCACCCTGCAGCATCATCTGTGCGCGACAGGGCGAAATCTTGCCCCTGCTGCCTGGCTGCCATGTGCTTGGCTGCGCTGCTCTGCGTGGGCCACGTCCAGGGTCGACTGTCCTCCAGGGGGGCTGCTGGTGAGGAAGGGGCCACGGGGGAGATGGGGCTGGGGCGATGGCACGTGTGCCCACAGAGAGGACTCCGAGTGCCACCTCTGGCACGTGTGCCATAGGTTCGCCACCACTGCATTAGACGATTCATTCAATTAACCAAAAAGATGCCCAGTTAAGTGGAGCAAAAGACGTAATTCTGTTTGCAAAGGACAAAAGTAGCATCAATGGTTTGTCCCAGCGTCAGAAAGAATTATGGAAGAGAAACAAAAACGACATCAAAATTCTAATATAGGCAGTCCTTGACTTTCGACCACAACCGAGCCCAAAATGTCTGTTGCTCAGTGAGCCGGATTCACTTAGCAACCCTGTCACTAACTGGACAACCGCAGTGATTCATTTAACAGCCGTGGCAAGGAAAATCGTAAAACGGGGCAAAATTCTCATTAACGACTGCCCTGGGATTGTACAGGCGGTGCTTTCGATAATTTCCCAGGTTAAGTTTTTCTAAGTTTCATATGAACAAAGGCTGGGAAGAATGGTCAACAGAATCATTATGCTCTAGTCTAGCGGTTCTCAACCTGTGGGCCGCGACCATTTCAGGGGGTCGCCAAACAACGCAGTCCGCCATTTTCCCCCCTTTTCCTTAGCTGTGCTACTCCCTTTTATTCTATTGGCTTTTGAAAGCCAATAGAAACTCTCTTGAATAGAGTCTAATTCTATTGGCTTTCAAAAGCCAATAGGAATTGTCCAGGCTGTCTCTGCCCTGCTGAGCCCGCCAAAAGTCCCATTCTGCAAACGGTGCTGCAAGTTGTCTGCAGCGAAGGTGAGCTGTCTGGAAGTTTCCACCCCTCCCTGCTGAGCAACTACTAAAAATGTAAGGAAAAGAGGACCAGGGGTGGGAGGCCGGTGGGCACAGGGAGGGTTGCTGGCGTGCGTGGGGCCCGGCGGGTGCCTTACCTCCCTTGGGCTGGGCCAGCTGGTGGCCCAGCCAGTGGTCACCCTGCGCCATCGCTGCCCCTTGCCAGCTACGCCTTGGCCGGCGCAGGGGGCGGCACCACGCATGCGCAGCACTCCAGGGCAGGGAAAGTTCTCGACTTACGACCAGTTGGGTAGTCCTTGACTTACGACTGGCTGGGTAGTCCTCGACTTACGACCGGTTGAGTAGTCCCCGACTTATGACAGGTTGGGGGGTCGCGGCATTAAAAAGTTTGAGAACCACTGCTCTAGTCTATTTTTTTTTTCAATTGGATATTCTGGATCCTGGATATGCAAACTCTGTTCTCCGAGGCTTACTGTTTAGCTCGGAGAGCAACCACTGCCAAAAATCTAAAACCTGAGCCACCAGTATTTGCTATTATTTAAAAATGCAAACTCTGTGTTATTGTTTTACTCTGAGGATGATGAAAGTAATAACCCTTAATTAGGATAAACAATATTATGTAGTAGATATATTATACGTGGCATGCAACTATTAATTGCTACCTTCTTTATAATATAAAGCAGAGCTGCGTTGTAATATATAAACAGGGCAGAGCACCTGGCTACCAGCAGGGAATCTATTAAGAGTGGAACAAGCAGATCCCAACAGTTAGGTCCAATGTGTGCAAAAGAAATCAGCTAATTTGGCAAGGGGAAAAGGAAAAGGGGAAAAAAAAAAGGACTTTTGAGGGTTGTAGAACCAACATTTTTGGAGAACAGAAGAATGCTTTGGAAAAACCAAAGGTAAAGGGTTATACAGGTAATCCTCGATTTAGCCCAAAATTTCTGTCGCTAAGCCAGACAGTTAAAAGTAAATTTTGTCCCATTTTACATCCTCAAAATCGTTACGTGAATCACTGCAGTTGTGAAGTTAGTAAAACAATTGTTAAGTGAACCCATTAATTGTGAACCAGTCGCCAAGCGTCTGAATTTTGATCACGGAGATGCTGCAATGGTCGTTAAGTATGAAAAAGAGCCGTAAGTCACTTTTTTTTCCAGTGCCGCTGTAACTTTGAATGTCACTAAACAAGGACTACATATACTTCCAGACTGCAAGTGAACTTTGTTTATAGGGGACGGTACCTTCAGCATATCAAAAAGGGAGAATCTTAAAGACGCTCCAACAGAGAAGACAAGAATGGAAGCTGGTTCACGGATTAGGAAACTTTTATTTTTCTGTGATTATCTAATTAGCATCTTGATTGAGTTTGCCTACATAGCACAACCTTAGCTTGGGAATGGAAAGAACTATTCAGGACCAACTTAAGAAAGACAGGAAGGTGTTCAGAGCCGTCGTTTCAGCAATTAGTCAGCGCTGCTCCTCAAGTGCAGATTCCCCAAAAGACAAAACAAGCAAGAAGAGATTGGAGAGCCATTGGTCTGAAATGGTGCAGGGTCTCCTGCCTGAGCAGGGGGTTGGACTAGATGACCTCCGAGGTCCCTTGTTATTCTGCAGTTATTCTGTTAAGCTTTTAAAAAGGGAGGAAACACTCAAAAAAAAAAAAAACCCTTCGGTAGGAGCAAGGACAATCTCCTGAAAAGCCAACATTTGTTCTCAGGGGGAATCGACAGAAAAATGCCTATTAAAAAAAAGTAATAAAAGACTTTCGCTAAAAGATGAGAAGGGAAACTTCAGCACCACAACTGGTTCCGGTTGGCAAGCCTGCCCCGACAGCCCCCCTATGATGGTTGTGCGCTTGTGCGATTAAAAGTGCAGCAAGCTTGAAGAATGGGCGATCAGGGCAAACACCACAACAAACCAAGTCTGAAGCACGGTGTTTTTTTTTTTGGGAAGCACATAAAATACAAAATACCTGGTACATGCTAAGTCATGATCAACCCATCATGAAATAAGTGTTCTTATTATACAGGATTTCAGATGGCTGAATGCTAGTAAGGGTAATTATGTTCTCAGCGCAATCCCTGAGTCCCAGAGCAAAAAAACGACAACAACAAAAACCCTAATGGTATACTTTGCTTCCGACCCATCAAATGTGAATCTTTCTATTGTCAGGCGCAAGGTCCAAGTCAACAAACTTTATTGTGTATTACCTATATCAGGGCTTTTCAATCTTTTCACCCATTGTACCACTTTTAGGATATGGCAACATCCGAGTGCCACCAGTCACCTAGCAAGGTGTCAAAAACTTGATGACCAAAAAAAAAAAACAAAAAGGAAAAAAATGATAAAGTACAGGTAATCCTCGACTTACAACAGTTTGCTTAGTGACTGTTTAAACTTACAATGGCACTGAAAAAAGTACTCCCCAGCCACAGCCCAGCAAGACACCTGCCTGCCCGCCTGGCGGCGCTTTTCCTCCTGTCCGAGGTTTTCATTGTGAGCATTTCTGTTGAGGATTGGCAGCGGGGGTGGGGTGTGTTTGGTTTTTATTCCCCCCCCCCCCGTCTGCTGGGTGGTTACAGCAGGTTTTGGTCACTTCACATGACCCTGGGACACTGTGACCGTCATAAATATGAATCAGTTGCCAAGCATCTGAATGTAGATCACAAGATCCTGGAGATGCTGCAACATTCCAGCTGATCGGCGCTTCTGGGCTCAGCAGAAGTGCCAGATCAGTGCTGCTTTCCAGCTGATAGCTGCTTTTTCAGGGCTCAGCAGAAGCACCAGGATCAGCACTGGCGCTGATCCTGCCGTTTCCACTGATCCCTGACAGTCCCGAAGCGCCGATCAGCTGGAAAGCAGCACTGATCCTGGCGCTTCCGCTGAGCTCTGACAGCCCTGCAGCTGCAGCCATCTCTCGCTCAGGCTTGTGCGGTGGTGCCACCAGTTCAGCTCATTCCCCTCCCCTGCTACCACTTTTCTAGGATGTTCGCGTACCATCTGCCAGGTGCCAATGTACCAGAGGTGGTACCCGTACCACTGGTTGAAAAGCCCTGCCCTATATGACACGAATCTCCCCAGAACAAAAACAGATAAGGTTCCATGGAGCTTGATAAGAATTATGCCTTTTGCGGCTGCACAAGGACTCAAGGCTAGTTCCCTGCTTGACCCCCCCCTCCTCCCTGGTTGGCCAGGAGTTTCTTAACACCTACTCTTTCAACGCACAAAGCAGGCAACAAACATCTTTACAAAACTGGACTTAAGGGAAGCTTATTACCGAGTGCGGATTAAGGAGGGGGAATGAATGGAAGATAGCTTTCAATTGCCCCCCCTGGGTGGTTTCCAATTCGAGGTGATGCTGTTGCAGTGATCCCCTTCTGTGACCTTATGACAAGCAAAGTCAATAGGGGGGAAGCCAGATTCACATTAACAAGCTTGTTAGTAACTTAACAGCTGCAGTGCTTCACTTAACAACTGTGGCAGGAAGAGTCACGAAGGAGGCAAACTGTTCTTCACAAAGGTTTCATTTAGCAGCAGAAATTTTGGGCTCAACTGTTACCATCAGCCGAGGACTACCTGTATTGTTTTCCATCTTTGTCCTGCTCCCGTTCTCTAATCTTAAGCATCCATCATCTCATCTCCTCACATCTCCATGAGAAGGAGTGACTGATAGGCTGTATTTGAAATGTTTATTTAGAACATGTGGCCTAGTTATCTCAGGTATCACATCCACAATCTAGCCACCACTCCCTTCAGCTAATCATGTTCTCCAGGAGTAGATGCAGAAACCGACCTGCCTTGCGCCACTGGGATGCGATGGGGTAATTTTCAAGAGGGGTGGTAGACCTTATCACCCCATCGGAAGGCAGGCGATGATAAGTGG